ACACCGCTACCACCGCGATCGCACGGACAGTACCCTCGTGCAATATTACTCGACGATAAGAATTCACTATTTCGAGGCCGGTAAATCATATACCAGATATACGAGCGAGAATCTTACGTCTACGACACGTTTATACAGGACGGTATTCTGAACGAAGCCGGGCAGCAGCCCTGTCGAACAGACGTTGCATTGGTGCACGATCCGGAACTACAACATACTTCACCGTTCGGCCGCGCCTCTCGACATTCCGCGGCGACGATTCCCGACATCCCAGCTGTAATCGCTACATGTTAAATGGGGCAATGGCGCTGCCAACGTTGGTCGACGTTGACTGGCACAATAGAAGAATTCCTTCGAAACGGATCACTATGTTATCCTTAATATGAAGAGAATAATAACGTCTACCCGCGTCTCGACGCACCTACAGATCACCGAAGCCCTCCGGCAGGCTACCGAACACACTGGCAGTAATCTGGATAATACAATACACTCGCCCTCACACTCCTCCCGCCGACCGACGAACGGCCCTAATACCATTCTCCCCTCCCCTCACCACAATGCCCGTCCTCCCCCAGACCCCTCCCGCTCCCGCCTGCAGCGAGCTTATGCATACACACGTTATCCTAGCGTTGCGAATGGCGCCCCTCTACCGAACGCCCAGCAGTCAGCTGATGCAGCTGAGGCTCGAAACTGGACCACTTCTGGCACAGCGATCACGGAATCCGGAACATGTCACGATCTCTACACGCACACTTCCAACGAGGATGGAACACACTCCCTGCTCGATCGCTCGCTCCTGCGTCGGCACTGCAAAACAACAGACCATCTCGCCGTCACTACGGGACGCCGTCGGGGCAAATGCGGAGTTCGCACAACCGATACCTCTCGTCTCCACTCACCGTGATCATCACTTCAGTGCCCCCTGGTGTGCGATCGTCCACCCTAGCGCCCCGCACTGGTGACGGTCGTCCCCACCGCTACGCCCCCTGGTTGCGACATCGCCTCGCTGGCGAGCGATCGTCCACCGTCTAGCGCCCCCTGCGCGCAGCCGCGTAACATCACCCGTGAGCGTCTGGTGAGTTGACAGGAACCTTCCAGTCCCCTGGTGTTGATTCGTCCACCGCCTATCATGCCCCCTGGTGAGCGACTCGTCAACCTCTCTAGCGCCCCCTGGCGAGCGCGCGCAATCACCGTGAGCGTGGGTGAGGTTGAGCAGGAAGCCTTCAGTGCCCCCTGGTGTGTGATCGTCACCCCTAGCGCCCCCTGGTGTGTGATCGTCCACCCCTAGCGCCCCGGCCGCTGGCCTGGCCGGCCGCACCCGGCGCACCTCCATATGTGTGTGTGTGGTTATTGCTGCAGCGAGGAGTCATGGAAGCCATCATGCCGCTGCTCGCCGCGGAAGCTGATATATGTATATATCATCCATCTGTGTGTGTATATAGATATAATCTATGTGGATGTGTGTGTATATACATCATCCATCTGTGTGTGTATATATTATATATCATCCATCTGTGTGTATGTATATATCGTCTATGTGGTTGTGTGTGTTGTCGCAGCGAGGAACAAGTCGTTGATGCTGCAGCGCGGAGTCATGGAAGCTATCATGCCGCTGCTCGCCGCGGAAGCTGATATATGTATACATCATCCATCTGTGTGTGTATATATGTATATATCGTCTATGTGGTTGTGTGTGTTGTCGCAGCGAGGAACAAGTCGTTGATGCTGCAGCGCGGAGTCATGGAAGCCATCATGCCGCTGCTCGCCGCGGAAGCTGACGTACAACCCGTCATCTTCAAGCTTCTCGGCACCGTACGCATGCTCATCGACGGACAAGGTACGCGCGCGCGACGGCGACGCCAGGCGGCGCCACAGGTGCACAAAACGACACCAGGGGCGCACGACTAAGCAGTACCGGCATGGAGGGCACGTGATGATGCAATAACAGCAGGGGGCGCTCATTTCGTAATCGAAATGACTCTGTAGTCTCTAAATAACTTTTGTAGGCGCGGCGATGATTTTGGAGGGAAAGAAACGCAGCCGGTCTGACATTAGCAGCTACATTACATGTAGCAGCTCAGCATTCTGTGTGGTTGTTGGCTGTTCTGTGAAGGCAGCGGCCAGGCATTACGAGTTCCCTCACGTTATTACCTTAGTTTTACTTATTATTACTAGACACTGGCCGTTGCCACTGCCGTAGACACTGCCGTGTATGTTTATATTTATTTCTATTTAAAAAAACTATTAAAGTGTTAAAATTAATTAATTAAATTTTAAAAATTTATTTTATTAAAAGTGTTAAAACAATATATTAACTCATATAAGATCCGATAGGTGGCGCGGTTTGTTTTCATTAGAGCCCCGCACTCGGTGCAAAAATTTTCCACTATTTTAATGTTTTTTAACGTGGAATGTGAAAAAAATGAAACTGGAAAAAAATATGCATGCAACGTGTCATGATCTGTAGAATGTTCCGACCAATTTTGGAGAGGATCCGTTGACCGTTGAGCGATGCAGAAACGTATAGCCGGACACACAGACAGAAAAATCCTCAATTTATAGTAAGATAAGTTTAGTTATATTTGCGTTACAGAGGAGGCGGCGACACGGCTGGGAAGCGAGGCAGCATTCATAGGAAGGCTGGTCGGCTGGTGCGACACCGTCACTCACGCGGGAGTCAAAGGTGAACTGACGCGGGGGAATGGGGGAGGGGCCGGGTCAGGGAGGGGTCATGGTGAGTGTGTGGGGGATGAGGACATCATCAGATTGTCATCACCATTATCGTAAGCAGCAGTGGCAGCAACAACAGCAGTAGCAGCAGTAGCAGCAGCAGTAGCAGCAGCAGCAGTAGCAGTAGCAGTAACAGCAGTAGCAGCAGCAGCAGCAGTAGCAGTAGCAGCAGTAGCAGTAACAGTAGCAGTAGCAGCAGCAGCAGTAGCAGTAGCAGTAACAGTAGCAGTAGCAGCAGCAGCAGTAGCAGT